GTGTTGGAAGTCATACGGACTTTATGTCCAGTGGGACACGGACTTAGACATTCCGCGCGCATTCGCTTATGTAATCACATAGCCACAAGCGCGCTCGATCTTTTCCTGCTACCTCAGCACTCGCATCATACATCGAGGCTGAGGTAAGTACCTACTGGACTCCTTACATACTTTTTACTCATACACTGTAGTCACTCGTTCCTACGTGTCCTACAGGTATTTCTATAGCACTCGCATCATACATCGAGGCTGAGTCACTCGTTTCTATGTGTCTACAGCCCTCGTAAATTTTCACCTCGGACAATAGGTTATGAGCCCCGGAGCTACACACTAACCTGTCCACTCATTGAGGCTTCCACTGTGCTCACACTCCTTTAATTCTTCTCTCTTCGACCGGCACCCACACCAGCACCTCCTGCACCACAGTCTACACCTTCTCACTCCACGCCCTCTCACGCCATGTCCAATTCCATCAAACTCTCTCTCGGCTCAAACCGCCTCTACGACATACCATTTCTCGAGGATGATGGAGCAAACTACCAGCAATGGAAGTTCCGTCTCGAGACGGTGCTACGCATCAGGAAACTCTGGAACATCACCCAGGGTAAGGAAGCTCGACCCGCAGATTCCGAATCTGACAAGCAGGCCGAATGGGATGACAAGGATCAAGACGCAAAGGCGCAGATCACGCTCACGCTCAAAGACACGCCTCTGAGCGGCATCATGTACGAGAAGACGGCGAAGTCTGTATGGGACAAACTCGCCACGTGGTATGAGGGGAAGGGGAAACAGACGATAGCGCACCTCATTGGTGAGCTATTTCGTGGTACGCTCTCTGATGAGACCGGTATGGAGGCACAGCTCAACGGCATGGTCCAAAAGGCCAACACTCTGGCCACACTCGGACAGCCGCTTGAAGACTCGCTGATCGCGGTTGCCATGGTCATATCACTCCCCCGGTCCTATTCAGTACTTCGCACCATCCTCATGTCGATGAGCGACAAGCTCACCACGGAGACGGTCACAAACCAGGTCCTTACCGAAGAGCGCGAACGCCTCAAGGAGGGATCGCAGCACGTGCTTGCCGCCAAGCTGTCAGGTATGCCATCAACATCGAAGTCGAATGGGAAGCAGCCGAAATCCGGCAAGAAGTGTGGCTATTGCCACAAGCTGAACCACACGGAGGAGGAATGCCGGAAGAAGAAGAGAGACGAGGAGAAGCAGGAGGAGGAAGAGGGTAGCGACGACAGTGAAGACCTTGCGGCGAAGGTCGCGTCCACCTGGGGTACCACAGTGTCCCCCGTCCTCCGACTGTTCATCGCCCACGCGCTCACGCAGCGCAGCCTACCCGCCGACCATTGGATTCTCGACTCAGGTGCAACGGCATTCATGAGCTCACGCCGTGACTGGTTCATTCAATTCACGAACCTTACCTCACCGAAGCGTGTCTGGCTCGGAGATGGACGGTGCATTCACGCAGAAGGTATCGGTCAAATCTACATCGATTTAGCCACCGAAGACGGACGTACAAGCCCGACGCTGCTACAAGATGTCTACTATGTACCGCAGCTCCAGGGCAACCTCCTCTCCACCTCGCGACTCACCGAACGAGGTCAGACCCTCACGTTCTGCGCCGACGCCTGCAAAATCACTTGCAACGGCGAGACGACAGGCCTAGCACACAAGACGGATGGTCTCTACGTCCTCGAGTCGATCCCACACGCTCCCATGCGAGCGTTCGTAGCGCACGCGGATTCCTCCACAGATCCCGACGAGTCTTCACTCGAAGCGCTGGCGGCGAAGACGA